AATGGACAATGGAGTCTCTTAGGCTGCTATCGGTGGATCCCCCTGACCGGGGGTCTCAGAGATGCAGACTGGGCCCGGGTCTGATGTCGTCGTTGGGTCTAAGACTGGGCTCCCCTCTGCTGGTGTCTCTTCCCGGGGGAAGCTGTCTGTGCACCGCCTGGCCCCGTCCCGACCTGGCGGAGGGCTTCCTGCAGATGGACCTGAAATGTTTCACTCCCAGCCTGATTTCTGGGCTTCCCGCACACCTGAGCTTGGACACGACTCAGCTCAGTCCCGCACCCTGCACCAAACTGAAGAGTGTTAAAGTAACTGTGGTGGTCCGGAGTCTTGATTTTAAGAAAAACACACATTTTAGCCTTGTTCACGAGCTTGTGAAGGACATGCTGACGGGTGTTTATGTCCATAAAGAGTTTGTAATAAACCTGGAGGAGTTTAATACAGATATAAGATATGTTGCTGTGCACGGCATCTGTCCAGAGTCTGCAGCTGCTGGAGTCATCACCTCTAAAATTGGTTTGGAGATAACTGAGATCCAGACAGTCCAGCGTTACAAGAGTCAAATGCAGGACCAGCACACACCCCCGCTGGGAGGACTGGAGGAGGTCAGCCTCTACTTACTGTTATGACCCCTGTTGTACTAATCTACAGGGTTGACGCCAACATGTGTGTTTTTCTTCCACTGCAGGTGAGTGCATCCCTGAGAGAGATGCTGCAGCTGCCCCTCCTTTACCCCAACACCCTGACCTCTCTGGGCGTATCCTGCCCCAGAGGTGTGCTCCTGGTGGGACCTCCTGGAGTTGGGAAGACCGTGTTGGTCCGCAGGGTGGTCATGGAGGTGGGAGCCAACCTGGTGGTGGTCAGAGGACCGGAGGTAAGAGCTGATATACATTTTCATTTTTAGTGAGTAATTTTGAGAAGTCAGTGACTGGAAACGTTTTAATTGGAAAGGACTTGGTTGTCATTTCTGTTCTCAAAAACGTTTCAAGAGATACAAAACGAATATTCTGCATTTTCTGTTTGTCTGTTTCAAGACAAAGTAAATGGCTAAATTATTTTGCTGTCAAAGAATAATTATTCCTGAGTGAGTCTTCAGAATAAACTCAACTGCACTGTACAGGTATATTTGAGTTTCTTTCATGTTTTATGAAAGTAAAAAAAAAAATAAAAATAAAAAAATAAGTCTTCTTTCATTTTTTCATTGCATCCCTTCAGTTTGAGTCAAACTCCACTTTCTACATTCATTTTATCTGATATCAAATAGATTGTAGTTTTACTTGTGGTGCTTTTTGAAATGATAACAGGAAAAAAGTGAAAATTCTTTAAAATGAACACTAGAAGACCAAAAATAAATGTAACTGGTCAGATATTCATGTTTCTTCTGATGTTTTTGTCCCGAACCATTTTAAATGTCTATAAAGAACATTTTTATGTCTATAATAATCAATATAACTATCCAACAGTGGGAATAATTATAATGTTTCAATTTCAGCAAAAAATAATTTAGATCATGTATAGTATTTTTGTCCAAACACCATAGCAGCATGAATCAATGGCATTCAAAGTTATTAGGCTGTGAGAATGACGTGAGATCGACATGTGGTGCATAAGTGCAGCTGAGTAACAGCAGTGGTCTCCTTTTGTCAGGTTGTCGGGTCACGGCCGGGTGAGAGCGAGGAGACGCTGCGGGCTGTGTTTGAGCGTGCCCGGTCTGCAGCGGAAGAGGGCCCCTGCGTGTTGTTTTTGGACGAGCTGGACTCTCTGTTTCCGAGAAGGTCCGGCTCCTCCGCGCCGGAGAACCGACTGGTGGCTCAGCTTCTCACGCTGATGGATGGGATGAGTCGGTCCGACCGCTTCCTCATCGTCGGAGCCACCAACAGGCCAGACAGTTTAGACCCGGCGCTGCGTAGGCCTGGGAGGTTTGACAGAGAGGTGCAGCGTTTTAGTTTGATACAGTCCTGTATGTAAAGTGAACGACAGCTGCAACGTGCAAAGCAAAACCAGTAAACTTTGCATTTGTCCTTTTTAAAAGGTGATCATCGGTGCTCCTACACTTCTGCAGAGAAAAGCCATCCTGTCTGTTCTGTGTGAGAGAATGCCCGTGCGCCCCACTGTGAACATTGCAGAGCTTGCTCAGATAACGACAGGATATGTCGGAGCAGACCTGAGTGCACTGTGCAGGGAGGCTGCCATGCACGCTTTGAGGGAGAACGTAAAGGTAAATGCAGAGAAAATAAGTGATCACTTTTAAATTAATTATTTGCCCAGATATAATAAATGCAGCTTACCAGTAGTGGCTTTAGTGACACTGAGCACAGCAGTAAACCTACAACAGAATGGCTTGAAAAGAGTGAAAAGAATCAATTTACTGGAACGGTCCAGTCAATGTCCAGACCTCAACAGTGGCTGAAATCTTACAGTGGAACCGTAAGAGAGCAAAGCAAAAACAAATGCATGTAAAACTTACTAAACTGAAGGAATATTTTGAAGAAACTAAAACAACTTTGAAACACTTTGAGAGAGTGATGAAGTCAGACAGACTCTGACTACTAAGAATTGTTGCTGTGAAAGCTCTTGAATCGTGGGACATAGTTTGTAGGACCGTGTTCTGTGCAGACAAAACGTCAAATCTTTGTTTTTATCCAACTTGTTTTGGATCAGGACCAATTTATGAGTTTAGTGTTCTGTGATTCATTGACATTGTTGCCTGCAGGGTTCGGGGGAGCAGGTGGTGGATATGAAGCACTTCCAGGAGGCCCTGAAGTTGGTGGGGCCGTCCTGCCTGAGAGGCAGCCTGGGCAGGACGGAGCTCTCCCCGGTGCTTTGGGAGCAAATTGGAGGCCTGGAGGAAGTCAAAGCCAAACTAAGACAGGTTGGCTCTTTAGGGGTGGGCGATATGGACTTAGAATTTTATCGCAATATCTTGTGGTGCTATTGTGATAACAGTAGCTTTTATTTCATCATAATGTATTTATTACTTCTTTATTACTTTATTATGTTTATGGCTGTGCCTGCAGGGCTCAGCAATCGTAGTGCCACAAACACAAATATTGTTCTTGAAATAGGCTTGTTCAGGATGCCACTTACTTCTATAAATGTGATTTACATCACTACATTGCCCACAGTAACTGCATGTAATCATATTTAAATTTCAAATTTATTGATATTTATTGATGCACATCACTTGTGGAACAGTGGAGAAAATAGAAAAAATAACATTCTCGATCACCCTGTCAGTTTTTTGTTTATTTACCATCAATAACTGCAGTTTATTATGGTAAGAGTAAATCAAAATTCTTATTATGATAAGAAATTTACTGTGATACACATGATAAATAATATGATAAATTTCCACCACGTACTAACTGAGTAGTGGGGCTGGATTTATAGAGCTAGAAAGGAAAAGTATGATAAAATGTTTCCATGCAACTCATAGTTAAGTAATTTTTCTCTTTAAATCTCTGCCACAGAGCATTGAGTGGCCTATAAGACACCCTGAGGCGTTTGTCCGTCTGGGGTTGTGTCGGCCGCGTGGCGTCCTCCTGTACGGCCCTCCAGGATGCGCAAAAACGACGCTTGTCAAAGCTGCTGCCACCTCGTCCCGCTGTGCCTTCCTGTCCGTCAGCGGCGCTGACCTGTACTCTCCGTACATCGGAGACTCTGAGAAAGCCTTAGCTCAGGTACTTCCTATTAGTTTCCTGAAATATGCAGAGAACAGATCGTTTTCATTTCTTCTTTGTTGCGTCTTTCAAACCATTGCATCTGTCTTTTCACGTGCAGCTGTTCCGGCAGGCCCGCGCCTGCGCGCCTTGTGTTCTGTTCCTCGACGAGATCGACTCACTGATCGGGTCGCGGTCCGACGTCGGGACTCCTAATAGCGTGCAAACCCGGTTGCTGTCTGTGCTGCTGAATGAGATGGACGGGATCGGCCTGAAGATGGTGGAGAGGAGGGGAGCAGATAAGGTCCTGCAGGCAGAGGGAGTGGAGCAGAGTCACGCAGATGACGAGGTCACATGTTGCTGACATTACACAATTTCTCATCTTCACACCGTGACTTTAATAATAAACAGTTTTTTTTTCTTTTAACAGCTGTACTGTCAGGAGGTTTGTAACAAAGATGTGATGGTTGTAGCTGCTACAAACAGACCCAGGTGTATCGACAGCGCCCTGCTCAGACCCGGCAGGCTGGACCACATCATTTACGTTCCACCTCCTGATCTGCAGGTTTGATTTTACTTTATTGAGTGCTTAATCTGCATTACGTTGTTAAATTTAGTCATAGTTATGCAGGTTTTTTTTTTTTAACTCCCTGTGGACTGAGGCTGTTTTAACATAAAGCAGCAAAGAGAGACAGAATAATTTTTACACAGTAATGCATAACAGCAACTGAGTCTTTTAATGTTAAATCTCGTGGTGCATTGTTTTTGTTACCTATGTTAAGGCTCGACTCGCCATCCTAAAAGTTTGCACAAAGTCTATGCCTGTGGATTCACACGTCTGTCTGGAGGAGCTGGCTGCAAAGACAAAGCTTTACTCCGGAGCCGACCTGGAAAACCTGTGTAAAGAAGTAAGTGTATCCGAAATGGCTTTTTTCTTTACAATTAAAAAACACACCAACAAAGATATATTTATATATTTAATTTATTTTTTTCTTTTTAGGCTGCTCTGCTGGCATTGCTGGAGGAGAACATGGAAGCGTCATCCATCCAGCAGACACATTTCCTTCGTTCCATCACCAAAATGAGTCCTTCTCTCACTGCTCAGCAGATTAGTTCATATTTAATACCTCACCAGTGATGTATTTTTATACAAAATATCAGTTTTAAAATAAATATTATGACATATAACTTTTATTGTCTGGTTTTTTTTATCTCATAAGCTTTTCAGTGAAATTAATTAGGCTATTTTTAACAATTAGTTCAACTGTCTTTCAGCTTTAAAGTCTGACCACTAGCGGGCCCACACTCTGATATTTTGTGATTTTTGTAGCTATTATCAAATAGATGCTTTATCCTTCAGCTCTACAATACAATACAGAAAGAACCATCTACTTTCCATATACCTCTTAAATCCTCTGTTTTGGGTATGTCTGGCCGTAATGATCTAAATAATATTATAATTTTCAAAGTGAGTATTTGTATCAGATCAATGCCGTTGTGATGAGCTTCATACTTTTGTTTGGTTCCTATTCCATATGTCCAGCAAATTACTTGAATTTCCTCAAGAGATGCAAGAATTATAATGGCAAATATCAATGGCTTACATTTTCAATTTGAAAATATGTTTTCATACATTTGTACCGTTTGCACTGAAAAAGTCTGTTTTCTTCTGAATACAATCGGTTTTAGCGGTATCAGCGATAACCTACGGTATATGATTTACTTTGTATCGGATCTTTGTCAAATTGTGTTTCTAGAAATATGACTGAGTGAGCGCCGTTACCAGCAAACTATCTTTGAAATGTTCTACGGTAACCTTAACAACGAGAATTTAGGCAGTTAGGAGAAAGTAAACGCTCATGAGCTCTATCTGAATACTTTGGAAGACTTTCTTCTAGTAAGTATTTTCTTGTTTGGGTGGCACTTACGCAGGTGTTGTTTTTTGTGGTTGATGATGTGTACAACAGTGTACATATTTTTGAGTAGCTTAAAGTTATTAGCTAGTCGCATTTTTCCATCTGCTGTATTTCAGTTACAAAAAGCGTTTATAAAATATTTGCAGTTAAGAAAAGCAAGTCTATGGAGACCTTATTATCCGTTAGCTATGGGGCGCTGTTTGTAAAATTACACAGTAAAAAAAAAAAAAAAGAAAAAAAGAAAAACAGTAATAATTTGTTCTATCTAGCTAGTCATAACGAAAACAATGTGCCTGTTCAAGGCCGCCACCACCGGAGTTTAGAGACACGGAAACCCGAGCTTTTATTTTGATATTCCATTTCCGCTTCCCGATAAGCCAATTTGCATATTAGCTAAGTATTTAGCTAGCAACCTAAATATGTTGTTAACAAGCAAAAATATTTGTTAGCTTGAAAACAAACGTTGTTAGTTTGGAAAATAAGTGTTTAGTTTGGAACTAAATGTATAGCTAGTGAATTAAATATTTAGTTTGGAACTCTTACAATTATAAATCTTGGAATGGCATAGTGAAAATATGTCTGAAAAATTAACACCCACATTTTTTTTCCCTCTATGACAGGCCAAATACAGCAAATTATTGCTGTTAATGTTTGTAACTTTACAAACAGCACTCTATAGCTGACACATGTTATACGGAAAGTACATAAACCAGCAAGTGAAAACCAGGCTATTTTCTCGATAGGTGTTTTGAGTATTTTGATAAAATGCCCGGATTCTTCCAGATGTTGATGAAGAGGAAGGAGGTAAGATGTTTGCTTTTTACACTTTTGGCAAGGCTACAACTGCTTGATCAGGTGTGGTTGGAATGTTTCTTGTTTCAGGTGATTCCTATTGTGGGAATCATGGCTCTTGCTGCAACAGGATCATCATCAGTTGCCATCTACTTTCTGTTCCACAAGAATGATGTGATGTGAGATTTTTTTGTTTGTTGTTTTTTGCTCTTTTTGATGGAATTTTGTCAATTAGAGCTGAATCACTATAGTCTATTGTTTAAATTTGCTGTGTAGTTTGAACAAGACTTCAAATCCAGAACCATGGGAACGAGTGAACCCATCAAAACCCCAAAAGGTATATTTTAATTTTTGAAAACAAGCATTGCCTTTCACCCAACTTCTGATATGTGCTATCTCACTATGACTTTCTGTGACATCAGAGTCAGTCCTCCAAATATTCATGGTAACAGTGACAAATACCTTAAATGAAGTCTTTCTTTTTTTTTTTCTAACATTTTGATGCAGTTTGTCACCATCAATCAGAAGTGGAAACCAGTGGAAACTCTGGAAATGGTGAAGTCCATGACCAAAGACAAATGAGGAGCAAGCATCATTTCTGAAGTTGTTTTTGTTACTTTTAGCTGACCACAGCTTGAGAGATGATTTTTTTATTTTTTATTTTAACTGTTTAATTTTACTGTCGGATGCCTCAGATACAAATATGTATTGTTGTCTGAATGTAAAAAGTCATAAACCCAGAGTACTACTCTATATATTTTCAATAAAGCTGAGCTTTTATGTGGCTTAGAAGAGCGGATGGTTTTTGTCTTCATGAAATGCTCTCATGACTAAAGCTAAAGTTACGACTGGTCAGAAGTTTCTATATATGTTAGTCATCGTAATCCAGAGTATGGTTCGTTCTTTGGATTTTCTGTTTAAACACAAAACCTGGGGGGAAATTGCATTGTTTTTTGTTTTGTTTTTCCATTTTTATGTTGATCTGCCATCTGGTTTTTGATGGATAAAGGAATCTCTTAAGCTACCGTTGTTCATGACTTTGTGAAAGACATGCTGAGGAGTGTTTGTATCCATGAGGAGTTTGCAATGAACCTGAAGGATTTTAATACAGATGTACTCGCTTGTGGTGTCCTGTGCCAGAGGTGTCGAACCTCCTGGAGTTGGAAAGCCCGTGTTGGTCCACAGGGTGGTCATGGAGGTAGGAGCATTTTCATTTTTACTGTGATTACCAATCAAGTCAGTGATTCTGAAACGTTTTCCAGTTACCGACTTAAAAAAAACATATTAAATGAATGTGCTGGTTAGACATTGTTGTCATTACTCAAAAAGAAGTTGTTCTTTAAGTCTTTTATTTTCTCATTACACCTCTTCATTCTGATGTGTCAAAATCTAGTTTGAAAAAATTCAACTTTCTATATTTATTGTATCTGATATCAGATATAGATTATAGTTTAAATTGTTACTTGGAACGAAAACGGTAGAAAGGTGAAGTCTACTAATGAACTTACATGGTGGGATTTTCATATTTCTGCTAATGTTCACTAACTGGTGCATCCCTGAGATCAACAATTAATGATTAAGGGCATTTAAGTAACAACAGTGTTCTCCTATGTCAGGCTATAAACAAATCAGTTTTAAAATAAATGTTATTTTTATGTAACTTTTATTGTGTCATTTTATTGTCTCAGCATTTACCATGACATGATTTTTTGCTCTTATTAACAGTTACAGTTATCTTTCAGCTTTCAAGTGTGACCACTAGAGGGCCCTGCACACTGGTATTTTGTACCCGTCATGACCAAATAGATGCTTTGCCCTTCAGTTGTACATTACAATACAGGAAGCATCTTGTGTCTACGTGCTTGTCACCTCGTAAACCCTCCCGCCTCGTCCTACATCTGTTTGTCTCCTGCTGTGCAGGACTCAGAGACTTTCAGGAAACTCTGAAGCAGCAGGTAAGACATGTCGCACTGAACTACTTTGGGGACCTTGCCTCTTCCTTTAGAAAGGCAGAGACTCAGACTGAGGATGTAAACAACAACAAGTGAAAACCAAACTATTTTATCTGCAGGTGTTTTGAGTATTTTGGAAACATGTCTGGATTCATCCAGTTGTTGAAGAAGAGGAAGGAGGTAAGACGTTTGCTTTTTACTGTTTTTATTTGTGCAGTCAGTCTGCTCCTAGTGAAGATCAGATGTGGTTGTTATGCTTCTTGTGTGTCTGTTTCAGCTGATCCCTCTGGTGGGATTCATGGCGTTCGCAGCTACAGGAGCCACATCTGCTTCCTTGTACTTTCTGTTCACCAAATCCGATGTGATGTTTGGGTTCCTCTTTTTTTTTTTTTTTTTAGCTCACAATTGATTAAATTACATCAATTAGAGCTGAAAGAGTATAATCTGTTGTTTTACTATGCTGTACAGTTTGAACAAGTCTGAAAACCCAGAACCATGGGAAAGACTGGACCCCTCAAAGCCCCAAAAGGTGTGTTTTAATTTTATTTATGCTTTATAGGATTCTACCAGCTGTATTCATTTTCATAAGGGTTTCAGTTCTCTTTATTGCGGCACGTAAACAAGCGCTGCTTTCTACCCTGCTGCTGATAGATAGTGCTGAGTCACTATCACTTGTACCAACCGTCTTCTGTGACATCAGACCCAATCCTGGTAATAGCCAATACCTATAACAAAGGGTCTTCTCTCTCTCTTTTTTTTCTGTCTGTAACATTTTGCTGCAGCTAATCACCATCAATCAGCAGTGGAAACCAGTGGAGACTCTGGAAATGGTGAAGTCCATGACCAAATAAAGAAAGAAGAGCCAGTATCATCTCTGAAGATGTAGAGTCTTGACTACTTGCCAGGCCCCCTCATCAGTCTAGCAGAATCCTTTCTGCACAAACTAGGACGCTTTGACACTCAGTGTGCGGAAATGCTTCTGCTCAACTGGTGGGGCTTCACCCCTGCTCTGTAGCGGCAACACAAGGACATCTATCCACAACGACAGAAAAAGAAACGTCTGAGATTAGGACAGGTCATTTGTTTTTGTTTTTGTTTTTATTGGCTAACCATAGCTGGAGAGATTAATTTTTACTTTATCAGCTGTGGTTCGTCTTAACTGTCAGATGCCTTTGGTAGGAATGTTCATTGCTGTCTAAATATAAAAAGACACAAACCCAGAGTACTGTACTGTATATTGTCAATAAAGCTGAGCTTTTATGTGGCTTAGAAGAGAGTCTTGGCGATTCGGTGTCAACATTATATTTGCGGCTTCAAACAAATGCATACAACCTATTTAATATTTAATGAAATGCCCCTTAGAAAGTTGAAGAGAAACGTGAGCTTTGCAACCATCAACAGAATTCTGTCAGAATATTTAATATTCTTATCAGAATTGGTCGATTTCATTTAAATTGAATTATAGTCGACACTTTCAATATGATTAAGGAGATAACTTCACTCATTATGCTGTAAGGCAAAGGAACAACCCTGCAGCACAATACTACAACTACTTCACTTTACAGTGTTTAGGGATAAAACCATCACTTGACCTTGATGCTGGTGGCTGCTGCCTCTACGTGATCTACAAGATGAAGGAAAACTATTATGTGATTAGTCATAAATTTGAAGTCGGGAACTACAATCACAAATGACAGAGGGATTGAAGACTAAGTCTAACACAGTAAACAATAAATCAATCGCATGATAAATTAAAATGAGCATAATCATTTTCATTTGGACAACAGTTGCTAGGAGATGCTCCCCTTTAATAAACTTGAAAAGCCAGGATTTTGAGAAGCACTCCAAACATTTGACACCTACAACAAAGTAGTTACTTTGCACTACCTGCCACTTTTGCCTGTTTTTACTGTCTAAGCTAAATGATTATTTCAAATGCAATTTTGGTTACAGACACCTCACAATCCATTTTAATTACTGTTATATTGTTTTATTAGCTTATTTTGGATATTTCAAATGTTTTTTTTAGTTCCAGTGTCAAATGTTCTTTAGAAATGAAAGGTTTTTCTTAATCTTTGAATATGCTTGCATTAATGAGCCCTTATCATTGTTGTTATGTACAATAAAAATGTTGTCAAAATGACAATATTTTTCATTTATTGCGATAATTTATGAGACAGTTTATTGTCTTCCAAATTTGTTATCCCGACTGAAGACTTCCTGGGAGTTCTGCACTTCAGTTCATGAAATGTCCTGGACAGACAGAACTTTGTTGTTATTGTCCTTGTCCTGGCCACAGGTTTTGACCAATTTTCTTTCATATTAGGGTTGAAACCTGCTCACAGTAGGCCGTTCTAGCAGGAAATTGATCCCAAGCAGTGCTCAAAACTGGTTTTGCAATGTATGACACAGGCTAACATTAAGCTTCAGGACAGTTGATTGTCCTGCACTCAGCTTTATTGAAAATTTCTGGTTTATCCCTGAAACCCTAAACCAGCCTTTTTAAATTAACTCTAGCACTTTTGATAGAAAGACAGGTCAAATATCCAGCAAAAATTATGCAATGGGTTTTTTGTGGCTACCAAAAGAAGTATTTGATTATCTTTAGGGACATTTAACCACATTTTAGCAAGGGTGCATGGATCTACATATATTCACGGGTGCCAGTTTAGTTCTGGTTCTGCAGACAGTCGATGCATTCAAACTTGTTTACCCTGGGTTTTTGGTTGTATGTCTTCTCAACAAATGCCTCAGATTAATATCCATAGTCATGATGACTGCATGTAAACTGTGGGAGTTACAGTACACACAAACCCTCCTGCTCTGTCTTAGTTCAGAAATGTTAAAAGGGGTGCAGCCTTTTCCACTTCAGTCACAGTGACTCATCAAAAACAGGAAAACGTATGGGTGGTACCCACAACTGGATTGTTTTTCCTTAATAAAACATGGAAATCGACAGCAACAGCTAAATACATTTCCTCAAACAGACGTTTTTAAATTAAACAGTTGAATGTACAAGTGTCTTTGTGAAGGACACCTGTTGTCCAAAACTGAAAATGAAAATGATCCAAAGTGAACACTTGGTTATTTTTTTTTAATCAGTCATGCATCTCCTGCAAAGGTATAGTAAATACTTGGACACTTCTGAAAGGATTCCTCAATTGATGTGTGCTACTCGTAAACAATAGCAAAAAAAACAAAAAAAAAACAAGTATGCCTATTTTTGTTTTTTAGGGGAAATGTGACTCGAGGTAGATTTGTTACTTAAAGTGGCAGCAACAACAAACAGCTTTCACACTTCTGGCTCTGGTGTGTGAAAGATCCAAATCTATCAGTGGCCATTTAAGAGGCGTGATCAATACAGTCCTGCAGAAAAAAATCCTCACTATGTTCAGGAATAATTAACTGGAAACTCATTTTCCCTTTTTTTTTTTTTTTTTTGGAGTATTTCCAACAATTTTTTTCCTCAGAGCAACATTCTTTTCCCTTTTATAGATGCTTTGTGAGGTTAAACTAGCCGTATGCCAGTTAAAGCCTCTCAGTGATGGTGCACACGATAACATTTAACTCTTCCTTCAAGAGTTTGTGGCCATAAATAGGTTTTGAAACTGGATGCCACACAAGCCTGGAAGTCAGTTTGCTCTGAAAGGGACTAAAAGCACTAGCAATTTTCACCCTTTTCTTTTCTTTATTCGGTTTGTGTAAGGACAAATACATTCAAGGAGTTTAATCGTGCTTCGCCTGACATAGCAAGAACATGTCAGGTTGACGGAGTATGTGAAAAACTAAATTATAAATGACAATTACAGAAACTCTTAAAGGGGGAGAACATGGCCTAAAAGGGTTAGGTTAGGTTAGGTTTAGGGTAAGGATAGGGTTAGCAGGAAATTTGACACAAGAGACTGGAAAGAAGAAAAAAAAAAAGAACACTGTCAGAGTGTTGTTTCAGCATTACCATATCCACTACACATCTGTGAACATTTTACATTAACACAGGCAAACACAGTAGGGTGGGGTGTGGGGGACTGGTCTGGGAGCAGGGGGCTGACCAGGGGGCGTGGTACGCATTCTTATGTTCTCGTCCCTGCACCCTTGCTGGTTTGGCAAGTGCTGGAGGTGTGTTCAGTGGCTCGAGGGTTGTCCGGCGGCCCTGATCTTGGTGTGGTGCTCTTTGTGTGGTTTGGTCGGGCCATGACCCAACGAGGTGCGTTCTTAGGTGCCGAGTGTTGCTTTCTGTTGTTCTCATTATTCTAGCAACTTTGCAATGCTGTCATCTTGAGATATCCTTTATGTAGAAAAACTCTGCCCTGGCATATAGGATGTACACTAATTTATATAAATATCTAATCCAAAACTACAATCAAACTAAGTTTGCAAAATGTTTTCTTTCTAAAGAAGTCCTGCTTTTGCAACAAGTCATTGACTTTGCAGCAATTCCTCAAATAACCTGAGCTTGCATGTGGCCACAGAGATTGCACTGAGTTTTGTACTTTGCAGCATCTCTCAGCAAGAACATCAACAAGCAGCAAGAAAACACTCCCACTTGTTTTTTAGGAAAAGTCAAGCTGCTCCCAGATTAACTGATGGAAACTTATTTTTATCTCGTTCACATCTGAGGCACAGATCTGCCCTCTGCAGGAATGACCTACATACATAACTGGGATTTAGGCAGTGAGTTTCCTTGCAAATAAAGGTAGGGATCATGCTAAAAAAAAAAACTCAATGCAAAATGTAATATTGGCAGAAAGCACATTGCAAGAAATGTATCATATTTGTATGTGATAGGGCATTTTTTTCTATTTTAGTGGATAAAATATATAATACTCACCTTCATTTTTCGTCTTCTTTCTGTCGTCCTCCAAACATACATGCAGGTAAATGTGTGCTCTCTTTGTGTTTGAGCTCTTGTTTGTTTAGATTGAACAAACTGAAGTTAAATTAAGCTGAAAGTGAATAAGAATCGACGGAAAATTAGATCTATATACAAATTAGTTTCAACTGTGGATTGCTGTTGAAAGTAATATTTATCAAGTTTGAAGTTTATTTGGCAAAGCCACTCTGCACTACAAGAGAAAATCTTACATTTTTCTGTTCTAACTTATCTTTCTTTGGGGTTGTACGTCAGAATTGTTTCTAGTATTAAGTATTCAAAAAGGAGATTATTGGAATTTCAGTAGAAAAGTACATTTTAAATTACTCTAAAGAAAAAAAATAAAGTATAAGTTTATCCCCTTCCTTAGTCCAAGTTTATTTGTACATCATATTTCAGCAAAAAGGCGATTCCCAATACAATAAGCAATAAGTATTACATTTTGTCAAATGCCATCAACAAAATCATTAATACACATCAAATATATTGAGATCAATATCAAATAAAAGAACTAAAAGCTCATTGTTGCTTTAATTCTTCTGTCACAGATCTCCATATTTCATTCAGACGACAGCATTTACAGCAGGAAATGGTGCCAGTAAGGCTAGCTGTAAAGTAATAAACGCCACCCAGGAAAAAAGCCAAGCAACTAATCTGCTTAGTTTATGGCTGGATGGGCAAACAGAGCTGGCATTATGTTTCAGAGAGGCAGTCCTCCCATCGCTCATATCGGAGAGCGAATAATCAAAAAGTGTCTGTGATAGAAAGCCGCCCTCGGCTGTGTCCGGCATCCACAGCCTGTAGTTCAGTTGGATATCCATGACGCTGAACGGGTGTCTCATGACTTATTAAACAAAATGAGACAATACAAAGAGAAAAAAGTGGAGCTTTTATTTCCAGCTCTGCAACCAGGAAGTGTTTTTCTTTTTTTTTTTTTTTTGGTTCCACTTGCATTACAGGTGCTGCTGTTTGTGTTTCACCCCCACACAGATTTTCCACCTTTTTTGCACTGTCATTCTGCCTCATGAGTTTTTAAGCAATGAAATTCAATGGCTTTTGCTAGACAAGCTCAGACTTGCACAGGCATCTGTATGGCTGCAATGCAAAAACAAGCCTCAGACACAGAGAGTTTTACAGCTGTCACAATTTCATCTATCAAGCTATGTTTGACTTATAAGTTATTTACAGAAACAATGAGACAGGAAGGGCACGGCGCTGCAGTCGTGTGCCTTGAAATATGTGTACGTGACATTATTGCACACACACACACACACACACACACACACACACACACACACACACACGACACCGCAGATCATGTGACCACTGAGTGAAAAACATTAACTAGTTGTAATTGAATGTCAAACATGAAACTTTCTTTACCTCACCTGTTTGTTCACATTACATTAATAAAAGCTATTTTGTGCTTTTTGGACAGATTTCCATGCTTTGCGATGGAACCTAGTCAGACAGAATAAAAGCAAGTTGTGTGTTAGATGAGGCAGAAAGGCAGGGGAGACGGAGGGAAGCTGCTTCCTTCTCCTAAAACAAAGTTAACCGCTGTCTGAAAATTTTATAGCACTTATGTTGCCTGGAAACCGACACTGTCTTGTCAATTATAAACTCTTTTATACATTTGACATTTGAACATTAACTTTGATTGGTGGGGAATGTTGCAGCTATCAAAGGATAACTCTTTTATGTAGTCCAATGTACTCTTCAAGTATATTCATATCGCTCAGAGAAATCATTAATTTCTCTAATTCATAGGCCTCTCGATACTTGACTACCTGCACTTGCACTGACCGGCCACATACCTTTAAAAATAGAGGCTGAAGACACTTTTTCCTCCAGAACTGCCTTACATTTCCATGGAACAGTATCAGGAAAGTGTCTGAAATTTTCCTCGGAGACCTTGGGCCTCGCTAACAGGAGAACATCATGCCATTGTGCTTCAAATCTGTCCGCCATAGAACCATGATGCAAATGTCTTGTACCACTTCCCAACGGTGCTTAATAGAACTAGGATCTGCTGACCTTGAAATGCCATTGAAGGAATTTCAATTGTAGTCTCAGCTTCCTGTTAAAAACAAAGAGGTGTGGCACCTGCTGCTGAACTCCACCTGCTTCAAACTTGACATGCGTTCAGAGATTATATTTTGCATACCTTGGTTGATGCCTCATCTCAAACCATTCTCATTCTACTGATGAAAATCTTGTAATCTTCTACTGCTGCTGAGAGAGGGTTTGGCATGAAAATGTACATAGTCCACCAGTTTCTCAAATACTTAGACCAGGTCGTCTGCTGGAAACAACCATGTCATTGAATGTCTTACCCCACTTCACACTGACGCCCAGACTGAACTCCGTGTTTCCCTGCCATCTGATTGGCTGATTTCTATGTTAATGAGCAACTGAGCAGGTGTACCTAATAAAGAACCGGTGATTGTATATTTTATTACTCGCTAAAAGCCGATTTTGCTTCCTGCACTTAATCATTTCGGCTTCAAGCGTTGTCATTTATAAAACCAGCACATGTGCGACCCCTGGTGTTTGAAAAATTAACCACACATTAAAACAACAAGATCAGACGCTTTCATCCAAACCTGATCAGATTTGCTGTAGTCACTTTTGAGTAGAATATGAGTAGAACACAAAAACAACCACAGTTTATACAAAATGCAGTTTTGTAAGACATTTTATAGACTTTTTTATGGACTATTTTATGGATGTAAAACAGTTAATGTCTCCTCAACCAACAAATGGTTGTGCTATCCTTTACAAAAACAGTTTCATATTTGAGCCTCACAGTTTGAGATATCAGTCTTTCATTGAGGCAGAGCACTTTTGGCCCACTTTTCTTAACAAAATTGTTTGATATTAACCACAACCACCCACTTCCCAAGGTCGGGGGGGAGGGGGGGTGTCCTGCCCCAAGTGGAGGAGTTTAAGTATCTTGGGATCTAGTTCACGAATGAAGGAAAAACAGAGCGAGAGAGGCAGATTGGCGCAGCGTCTGCAGGGAAGTGGACGCTGTACCAGTCGGTCGTGGTGAAGAGAGAGCTGAGTCAAAAAACAAAGCTCTCGATTTACCGGTCAATTTATGTTCCTACTCATCTATGGTCATGAGCTTTGGGTCATGACCAAAAGAACGAGGTCACTGATACAAGTGGTCGAAATGGGTTTTCTCCACTGGGTGTCTGGGCTCTTCCTTAGAGAGAGAAGCTCAATCATGCAGTAGGGACTCAGAGTAGAGCCACAGCTCCTTCACTTCGAGAGGAGTCAGTTGAGATGGCTTGGGCATCTGGTCAGAAAGCCTCCTGGACGTCTCTCTGGTGAGGGGTTCTGGGCACGTCCCAGCAGGAGGAGGTCCTGGACACGCTGGAGGGACGATGTTTCTCGGCTGGCCTGGGAACACCTTTGGATTCCCCAGGAGCTGAAACAAGTGGCTGGGGAGAAGAAAGCCTGGGCTTCCCTACTTAGGCTGCTACCCCCGCGACCGGATAAGCAGAGGGATGGATGGAGGGACGGATGGATGAATGAATGGATGGATAACCACATGGGAGGATTTCAAGGAGAAATGGTTTAATGTCATTGACTCAGTGAGATTAGGTCCAGACTTACATCAGACTTACATTAAAATCTTGCTTTCTTTTTGTTTGAGCCGTCTAGAGGCAGATTGCAGATTTCTCATTGTCTATTATTTCCCTGAAAGTCTTACAGATCAACACCTTTTTTTTTCTTAGGAAGCGTTAGATAGGTGGGTTTCACATTTAACTTGTTTTCTGCATTCTCTTTGTTGTTGAATTATGAATTCTGACCTTAGCTGAGGAAAGTCAGGGCTGCAGTACTGTCAGCATTATTCTTGGTTCTTATGCGACATGCTGAAGGAGTAGTCAATGTTGTCAAACAGGTTCTATACAAGTAATTTATTATTCCTACAGGTCTGGCCGTTCTCAGGCTTGGACGTCATCTCTGCAGACCCCGCACATACAGGACACCATCTGTTCACACTTCAGCCACACAACACCGTTTGCATAAACGGGCTGTCAGTGATGGATATATAGATCATTTCATTTTGAATTTTTTGGGTCCTCTTTCTCTCTGTATATAAATATCCTCCTGACTACCAGTAGTTCATTTTTGTCCTCTGTAGAGGACATTTCTAAACTTGAATATCTCCCACCTCCTGCATTCTACTGAATTAATTCCTTTTGGTATCTGGAGAGGACATTTAGGGCTTTTCAACGATATTACATGTGAAGGGGTGGGACTTTTGTACGTACCTTTTTCTAATTCATAAAAATGGCGTTCATCAGTAATAACATATTTTATGGGAAGAGACAATGTAAGTGCATAAAACCTTTTATTACCTTACAAAGAATGTGGGATTTAAAAAAAAATGGTGATTGGACAATATTTTTTTTCCTGGTAGTCAGATGTGTGTATGCTAACTGTGTGTAGAGTCAACTTGCTTGAGTGCACAAACCTGAACAAAGAAGCCGATTCTGATATATTTGACATTCTGGAACACTTTATACTTGGTAAGAAAACACAGTACAACAAACACAACTGAAAACTTTATTATGCCAAAACTGTGGTCCAGTTTTTAATACTATTTTTTGGGGGGGAAGTGGAGATTTAGACATCCCCCCTTACATTCTCTCAACTCTTCAGAAAATACCATAAATAGCAAATCCAGTCATCCCTTGTGCTCTGAGCACTAAAACTGATCTGCATAGCTTTATAATTATATCCTCACACTGTAGGTCAATGATATCTTCAGTCTTATTGATCATTAGCACTCTGTTTCTTAATGTAGTATAGTCAGTAAATTATTACATTATGCAAGTGAAGCAACCATGATGTTACTTTTGGAATATTTGGAATATTCACCTTTGATTTTCTTTACAGAGACAGAAATCTGCCTGGTAACAGACTTCAGGTGAACACATTTGACGAGGTGTAATGTTGACAAAATAGAAATGATAAAAAAGTGAGTCTCGTAACCCATGAAAAGGTTTAGCTTGCATGCACTGAGGCCAGCTACAAAATCAAACCAAAATTGCTGATTTCCACTCTATTACATTAAGATCATAGCATCCAGCTTGAACACATTACAATGAAGTAATAATTTTTTAATAACCAAACATAATTTGAAACAAAGCAAAATTCTTTGATACAAATGAAAAAAAAAATCACCTGTTGCAGTAGGCTTTAATGGTGAATTAAGGTCAAGTTTTCAGATTATTCTCAGCATAAGAGATAATTTTCCACCCAATGAGAGCGATGCAAGCACAGGGCATTAGGTCCCCAAGAGGCTGCAGTTCTCCTCCAATTAGAAATGTGCGTCTGTTGTCGTTCCACTGACTGTGCTTAGGCACCGCCGTTTTTCCCCATCCATGTCTCTATACTTGCAAAGGCACCGATCGGCGCCGAGACATCCCTGCCTCCGCTGGAACGGACCGCGCATGTCAATGAAACAGAGACTCTCAGACGCTGGGCTGCTGACACTGCGCACAGCTACGTACCGTCCTCTGTCTGTGAGTCTGGACCTGCACTGTGCATCTGGTGAGGCCGTAGGTGTGGAGCAGCAGGTGGCGCGCCTTGGCCTGGACGTCTTCCCAGTTGTTGGCACTAGAGGGAGCTGTGAACACAGGCGTGTACATGATCACAGCTGGCTCAGCCGTGGATTTTATGTTTTGCAAGTCTTCTGCAGTGTAAAATATCTCATGCTAGATTACCATGTTAAGTGAAAATCTTGAGACCAAGAGGTTAGATAAGTCAGCTTTGCGTTCCAAGCTAATTATAGTTTCATTGGTGAGAACAGAGTATAAGGAGTCTCACACAGACTCATTCCCTCACTTTATTTTTAGCTCATCCAGACCAAATGACAAGAATAGTCATGCCACAGTTTGTTTTAACATATAAAAAATGTATCTCCTAAACAACATATCTAACAATAGCTGAATCCACAGAAAACATTCGCAACAAAAACAACTGTTACCGCTGGAGGTATTCTGATGATTCAATTGTTGTAGAATAATGTTGCACAGAAAGATAAGCTGGAACAAAAGAAAAGCCTGTTCTTGTTAAAAGTTTCATTCTGGTCGATCCAGCATGTGGCCCCTGTACGACAATAATCATTTCCACTCCTGACGTCTACTTGAGTGTGCAAGACAGGGCTCTAAAAACGTTCTGCTGCACGGTGGGAGAAATGGAGCATCTAACGCCTCTTTTTAAAAGGATAATAGTGGAAAACTAAATTACTTTAAAGTTGAATCAGGATCTGCTAAATACCAAAGCAAGACTAGAGGATTATGAATGGTTTTGCTCCCAAATACCTCATGTACAAAGACCTGAGTGTTTCCAAGTCGAAAACAGCTTGCACTTAAACCGAGAACATGGTGAACACAGACAAATCCAGACGTATGAAATGTTGTGAATCCAAATGAATTTCCTTTCATACAGTATCATGAAAAAGTTTCCTAATAGCAGGTTTATTGTGTTTTCAAATTGTTGCCACACTTAAAGATTTGAGAATATAATAGAGCATCAAACATATTTATTAGAGGGGTTGGGAATATATTTTCACAAAACTGTACATCTTAACCAGAGTGGAACTGACCAATAATCAGTCCACAGCCGTACAGGCAGATCCAAAAGGATTGGCTTTGGTACAGCTAACTCATTTACTCTAAATATGCCAAAGCCATTAATGCTTCAAATATTTTCTTCACCACTTTGTGTATACTTTAATATCCACTGCATACACATACATGTGCACTTGTAGCTGCGCACAGTAAAAGTTTTCACACCATTACTGGTCAAACCAGTCAAGTTTTGTCAATAGAAACAAAATCATGACTAAGGCAGCCAGTGAGTTGCAGTGTGGTTGGTGCAGAAATGAAGGAACAGCGCCCTCTGCTGTCCAATCTGCAGCTAATGGAAAACTTAGACGTGTTCAACTAAAATACATTCAGATGCAAATTGTAAAGCGCTTTAAGTGTTGGAGAGTGTGTCCCCTTCATCCATGAACCTGCTCGTTGTTGGATGAGACGGTGGAGGGACTTTTTTAATGGGATGAAATAAGGAACATCAGATGGTCTGTTAACAGCTGAAGTTTTCTAAAGTGTTACAGCATGTATCAGCACCATTCCTGCTGTAAAAATCAAAATTGACATAATTGTTAAACCAAAGGTCAAAGATAAGAACAAACTCCAGAGGCCACACTGACACATGGCAACTTTACACAAAGCCTTTTGTCCTTTCAGGACACTGACACTTCATCTACTGCCAAATCAGCAACCAATCTACATCAAGGAACAATGTAGATAAACTTGCATCAGATTCTGATTATATTCAGATATCTGAGAAGATCTTTCCATTACAGTTTCAATTTAAACAAAAGGACTTTATCTTTCATGTTGAAAAGTTAAACTGGAGCTAAATTGCCTGAAATCTGTCCATTTCATCCCGTCTTTATTGTAGGTACTCACTGAGCTGCAAGTGCACCATCGCTGCGGTCTTGTCAGCCGTCAGAGCCCAGACATTCAGCTCGTCGACAGACTGGACGTCCTCCAGCTTCAGGAGGTCCTCTTTGATTCGCTGGGTGTCCAAATGTCTGGGAACACCTGCAGGATGGGAAAAAGGTCACCAGAGCAGCCCGCTGTAACAGATTCATAAAAGCTAACCAAAGTAAGCTCGAGGAAAATGAACCTGGACTCACCTTCCAGGACTATGACTATCGTGTCTCGAATGATGCGGACTGTGGTGAAGAGGACCAGAACTGAGAAAATGTAGGTGCAGATGGGGTCGGCCAGCTTCAGCTCCGGCTGTGAAGTCAGACATTTGCATTGAGTAAAATCAGTCGTTTTGCAACTCACTGTTAGCAATGTTTACATGCAGGTAAAGCTCAGCAAGAATGTCATCAAAAACTGAATTTAAGTAATTTATTAATTTAAGAAAAACTTCCTTAACATACAGTGATACAGTTGTAGTGCTGATATCTTTATTAGGGGGTTGGGGATATATCCCTCTTCATTTTGATGATTATGGCAAATAGCAAATGAAATTCACTCAATTTTCTGAGACATTTCTGCAAGTTTGAATGACTGGCATTTAGGACTTTAAGAGGGTTTTTAGGACTGCTATGGTTTAAATTCAAGACCTACAAAAATTACCATAAAGTTGTCTAAAAACTTCAAAGCTAAATGTGTTACATGTTTTTTGACAAGTGCCATAAAACTCTTGGACTTAGCTTGCCAGTAATACAACAGGCTTCATACTGATTATTGAAGAAACTTTTACTCGGTGTGAAAATCTGTTTTCATGGTAAACAGATGTAAACTTTTCTGTAATAAAAAAAAACACCTGGTAGAAGACATTATAGAAACTTTATATTTATTTATTTACTAGGAATGTCAAATTCAAATGTATTAAGGGTTCAACACAAAGAAATCCCTAGGCTGACGGTCAAACAGAATATTTTGTTTTTTCAGAAACAGAGACGTTTTAAAGATGTTTTAATTCAGAACAAAGTTTTTACTGCTTGAGTTTAAAACATGACATCAATAATCTAATTATTATTTCTATCAAATAGAAATATTAAATTATTTTATCTATTATGTAGATCTGAGCAGGAAAAGAGCAAAGGCCTCCTGTGACTTGAATGTGTGTTTTATCATTAATGTTCCGAGAAACATTTGTTACTCAGCCTTAGTCATTTGTAATGACAGCAGTTTTATTGGACTGTGTTTTATAGAGTCATAATTAAATATGACTATAAAACAATTTAATATGATTGTATAAAACACCACAGATCTCTGTTTTGTTTTTCAACCTTCATGTCAAATTGACCCATTTTAAAGTACAAACATTTTTTTTAAATAGCTGAAAGTATTTTTTCTGCATGAAACTTCTTTTTAATCTACATATAAAATGTTTTACACATTAGCATCAAGTAATCATAACCATTTTATTCTTCTTTAGGTTTGCCATCTGATGATGTTAGAACAAGCGTGAGTTGTTTGAAATGTGTAACGTTAATTTGCACAAAGCGCTCGGTGATGACATGTCCCTCGTGTGCCATGGAGATGACACAACTAAAGCATCTAGGTCATTTTCATCTATTCATTTCTGATTTTATTCATTGCATGGTGTTTACTATCACAACATGGTGACATTATTTGCGGGCTGTGGATATTCACAGACATACATGCGCTGTTGTTGTTTATGTTCCTGACATCTTATTTTGTTGTTTAGTTCACTTCTGGTTCAAAAACAGTGGTTGAATAAAGTTTACTTTCAATACAAATCTTCATGACTCGTTGGTCTCGATTTTTAATCAGCGGGTCAATCTGACCCAGAACAGAATAGGTGTCTCCAGTTCAATTATATAGATCACTCCTTGAAAAATATTCAAAATTGAATATGTTAAAAAAAAAATTCTATTTCTATAAGGACATAATTGTGTAGGTTTTTTCAATGGGCATAAAAGATGTTATTTTTTTTTTTTTTTAGGAAAAACGAGCAAATTGTCGTCATTGATCCTTTATCTGAGAGAAATAATAAAAATTAAAAAAAAAAAAACACAGGTGCACAAATATTGATTAAAATGGTCAGTATTGGAGTTAATAATCAGATACAAAAATGTTTTGAAGAATTATTTTTGGTTTCTAATTCTAAGTAAAGTTTCAACTGAATCAAGGAACAAATTGTTGACATATTGGGTCAAACCTCCAGGTGAATCACAATCCTTCCTAACTATCCTTCAAATACTTGATACTTTTTTTAAATGACATCCCACCACTATAAAGCCACAATCTCTGCTAGTTCTTGCACGGTCTTCTCCTGGAGGAGAGCATCAGTGACCGTCTGCTGATTCTGCAGCCTCCAACATCGCATTCCTGTGTTAAAATTTTCTATTGGTCTTGTATAGCATTCCTGTTTTGTGGGAAACTAAATTTTGCATTGGTAAAAGATGAGTTTGCACATGAGAAATAAGAAAGAATGTGCTTTTGTTTTTCAAAACATTTTTTTTTTGCTCTGTGCATGAATCATGCTTAAATAAACTAAGGCACTAAAACCAGTTTTAGCTGACAATAAAAGCAGGAAGATGCATGCAGGCATGTTATTACTTGTTTGGGTTTGGGTTTATCAGCCACATCGCTGCTTGAATGCTGTTTGAGCAATATGTAAACAAGGACAGATGGATTAACAGAGAGGCTACAAATTAGGGCAACACGCCGTTACTTTATGAATGATGGATTGCACCATAATGTTGGAAACAGGCTAATTTCTGTGTGCTCACTGCTGTTGGAAAAGCTGTTAACTTTGCTATAAGAAAAGAAGTGAAAATAATCTGCAAAAGATTTTACGTTATTCGAACTATGACTTTGGGAGGAATATTGGAACCGGTGATTTCACCTTGAAGCGGACGACGTAAGCAGCTATGAGCACGCCGACGCTCTGGAGGAGATCTCCCAAAGCGTGGATGAAGGCCGCTCTAACGGCGAGGCTGCCGGTGGGCCTCTGCTGACCCGACCCGGCTGAGTGTGAACCAGATGGGGCAGCAGCCGGGCCGTGGGAATGACCGTGACCGTGACTGTGACCATGACCGTGAGAGTGGAGGTGGCCGCCTTGGTTTAACAGAAAACCCATTCTGGAAAGACAAAGAGACATTAAATCACACATCTGACCAAATCACTAAAGCGCCGCAGTCAATCCTGTAGACTTCAGGTAAACATTAACTCAGAGATCAACACCTGGAGTCCGTGCAGTAAAGGCAGCAGCACTTTGGACTGAACTTACACATTTTTTCTAAAAATGTAAAAATGGCCATACTTACATAAGATTAACCGCCACCCCTACAGCTGCAGTGATGAGCATGATATCCCCATCTATGTCAAAGTCCTGATGCACGGTCCTCAAGACGGCCTCGTACAGCAGGACGCCCGTCAGGATGTAGATGAGCAGCACACTGAGGACCGCCGACACCACCTCTACAACAACCACACACAATCAGACATCAGCTGAAAGGGAAAAAAAGTCTGACTTAACCATAGTACACTTCTCTTTGAACAATGTTACAGTAACAGGTAAAAAAAAAAAAAAAAGAAAAAGCAGAAATCCAGTTGCAACTTTTCAACTTTCTCTTGAAACTCAATCTCACACAATGGCTTTTGATCTGCAACTGTACCATCCAGCTTAACTTGTGTGTTTAATAATAATTTTATAAAAAAATATATATATACATTTTTAATTAATTTTTCCATATTTCTCACATTTCTCATCATTTTATTTTTTTACTTCAAGGAAATTAAACAGAAAACTGCTGTTGTACCACAAAAAAAGAAGAACTTAATTATAACGGAGTAACGCGAAAAACATCTCTAAAAAAAATCACCTTTACAATACTTCTAAAGAAAAAATCTCGTTTGAAATTACTGAAACATTAAAAAGATATATCTGATGCAAAAACAATAAGCGTCTTATGACTTTTTAACATTTTTTCTTCAGTGAGAACCGAGTTTAAAATGAGGAAGTGATGTAATAAATTAAGATCCAGTTTAATGAGAAGCAGACAGAAAATCAAGTTGAACTCTTTCGTCTTCAGCAGCTTCTTCATTTGTAGCTGCGGTGTCAAAGCTGTGGTTTTATTTTCCTGTTTTGTTTAAATCGTACTGACTGTGTCGACAAAGGCATAAAGGATGAAGTCAACTCTTTCAAAGAAGTTTTTGAAGCGTTTTCTATTATTTTAAAATGCTTTTGTGCCTTTAAGAATTTATTTTACTCCTGAAATTAGGAGGATGTGACTATGAGTTCATGTGAGAAATTAATTTTCATTACTATTTTCCCGACATTAACACAAGTCTTTATAGTGTTTATACAGCCCCAGTCATTCAGCCAGCATGTCGGCCTCCATTGTTATAGATGCAATAAAAGAGATAGGATTCTTATTTGCTTTCAGCACAGCTGAAAATACACTTCTCCAAATGATTAATCAGCAGGAAAAGCAACATGAAATGCCACAGTGGGAGCAGCTACAAAAGGAAAGTGACAGAGAAAAAAAAAAAAAAAAAAAAGTAGAGCAGCTTAGCTGCCTCTGCAACTCACCAAGGCGATGTAGTCCAAAGGTGAATCTCTTGGTGGGTGGCTTGTTGGAGAGCCACAGGGCCAGCAGAGAAAACAAGATACCAACCACATCTGCTAGCATGTGCACGGCATCAGTCATTATTGCTAAACTGTTCGACACATAACCACCTGGAAAAAGATGGAGGAAAATGAGAGCAATTACAGTGAAAAATGTTTACGACTGGCTGTATAAAAATCTTTTGCAAATGCTAACTTGAAACTTGGAAATCCTAACTAACTGAGATTTGTTCCTGTTCAATATAATGGGAATTATTTTAAAGGTTTTCACAGTGAAAATAGGGCAAAAATTAATAAAATAATGCTGAAAAGATTCAATCTAACAAATGAGAAACATTTGAGATACTGTTAAATGCTAGTTGGGTTGAATTCAGCAAGAAGCACCGGAGGATAATAAGAAGGTGATGGCCAGTAGGGGATAAAAGAAAGGATTTACACAGAGAAAGACAGAAAAAAAAGACAGGAAGGAAGAAAATTGAGGACGGACAGAAGAGAGAATGGACACAGAGGCAAGACACAATAAAAAGGAGAGAAAAAATAAAGAACGAGAGGGAGAATGGACAAAAGAAGTAAGGTCAAGAAGAAGGAAGAAAGAGCAAAGAAGGACAGAAAAAAGGAGATGAGGAAGAAAGGAAATAAGGTCTTAAGGGGTTAGGACTGAGGTGTTGAGGACAGAAAGGAAAGTAACAAAGGACAGCTAACAGGACAAAAGGAAAATTGAAGGAAGTATGGAAATGAAGGAAGGACAGGGAGGGTGTTCCTGCATGGGAACACACTGTGTACTGAAGTCGCTACTGCATGGTGAGAAAATTTCACATCTGATTTAAACAACAAATTAAAGTTCAAACTCCAGCATGGGACAGCTGTATGCTCGTCTTTCATAAAGGTTAATGTTTGATGAAGATACTGAAGGCGGCTTTGCCAGCTAGTTTATTAGTTGTTGAAAAAGTAAACACACACTGGATTAATTTCAAAGGTTGCTTACGGGAGATTTATCCAGTAAGTGGTTCACTGGGTTTTGTTATCCAGGAATAAATCACTGTTTGACCGACAGCAATAAAAAAATAAAAATAAAAAAAAATAAAAAACTCCAGTAACTCCAGGCAGCCCCGTCATAAATACTGCATAACAGATTGATACAAATTATTTCAGCAGAGAGCAAGAAGAAAAGGATAAATGTTACAGAGATTAATCCTTCCATGTTGTTCTCTTATTGCTGCATCTCATCTCTGCCCTTAGCCCTGTGGGTTATAAGTAGGGGGGAAAATATGAGGGACTCTTTAGATATTTAAAACTTTTTAAGGGCACACTTGGACACAAAGCAATAATTTCTAATTTCTTTTAGCGCAGAAACCAGCATGATGTGAATATTGAAGGGTTCCAGTATAATTCTTTTGGATTGGTTATTATTCAGGTGTTAGAAAATGCACTAGAGTCAAACGTTTTCCATTTCAAACATTTTCCTGCTACAACTAAAAGCTTGTGCAATCGTATCCAGTTCCCAGGAAGTCAAAAATAAAAATAAATAAATAGGAAGAATAACAGCGTTATTTCTCTCTTTAAAAAGTATCATTGCAAGAGCAAAACTACTGAAATATCTAGCTTCTTCTTGTATACTGGAGCATTAGGCAAAAATAAAATGAAGTACTGAGTGTTAAAAATTAAATGAACTTGACGGACTTTGAAGTCACAATATTTCCAGCATGTATGAAAAACTCTTCTACTTTGGCACAATTATTAAAAGGTGTTTTCCAGGCACATAGTGCCATTTTATAGCACAAGCAAATAACGATGTGAATTTCAGACTTTAAAAAATTTTGTACTTTTTAACTCCTGCTCTTTCTGAAACTCTGCCTTCAGGAAGCCATCACAGCATGGCTCCTCTATTAGTCCTTTTAAAAACTTTTCTACCAGTGCTTATTAGATGAGCTCAGTGCATTAGAAGAGCTCAGCTCATCTAAAGAGCTCATTAGATGAGCTGAGCTCATCTAAAGATGAGCTGAGCTCAGCTCTTTAGATGAGCTCAGCTCTTTAGATGAGCTCATCTAATGAGCTCAGCTTCATCACCAGGTGTTTGCTAATTGCTACTGGCTAGTCTGAAGGAGCTGAGTGGTGGAGGCAGGGGGGAGGGCTGCTCTGCGAGGCAGAAGCTCAGAAGCTTGAAAACTGCAGCTCAGAGGAGGAGCTACACCTCAAAGAAGGGGGTGCTAGGCCCACCCAGGCGTATTGCAAAGTTGAATGGTCGCCATGGAGATTAAAGGATTTCTCAAACATGCGTGAAAGAATCAAGGCAACATTCCAGGCGTGTTTTGATGAGGGAATAACATCATATCATGATGTACAGCTCACACATAAATGAACCTTTGGCGTACTGTCAATGATACAAGTGCATAAACGTCCATGTATTTCCACTACCTTCCTTTTGGTATAATATTTTTGATGCCGGCTGAGGGGTTGATGACTGCTTACATGACACGTCCAGGCATATTAAGTCATATTATTTCTATATAAATGGAAACAGTGAGAATAGATGATGCATCTGCTTCATGAGGGAGTGTCTCGTTTCACAGTGGGATATTTTAACTACTAAGGGATGAGTGGGAGGGGGAGGGCTTGGGGCAGCACTGGTGAATGTGATTCATCCCCACAGTGGGGCCAGCTGCTACTCTTAAGGCAGTTCACTTTCAACTGGGTGCATTTTCATATCTAGAGTTTGTTTAGTTACAGAGATAAACTCGAAGGATTTGCATACAAAAAGGAGGTGGCTAAACATGCAAATAGAAATCTGTTCAAGTATAAAAAGAAAAAAAAAGACAATTATAATCTTTGAATATTTTTGTCATTTACACTGAAAGCCTCGTTTCCATTGTGGTTCTTACCTATAACTTCCCCCGTCATGAACAGGAAGTACAGTATAGCTGCAATGATGAGCCTCTTCATCACCCTCCTGTGCCTGATCCTCTCCCTCTTCTTGTTGCAGTTGTCACATGGGTCCATGTTCAAACCAGGGCTGCCCAGAGTGGACGAGGAGTCCAGCAGGGAGTCATCATCATCTTCATCTCCTCCAGCTCCAGGCGGGACCACCACGGTGCTCACCGCCACCCCGTTGGACGAAGCCCCGGCCGAGTAGTCGGACATCTCTCCGGAGACGACCACCTTCAGCTTGTTGAACTTGGGGGCCTCGTCATCCTCCACCAGCTCGTCGGAGAAGTCAAAGGGAGCCGAGTCGCTCAGGTTCCAGTCGGTGCGGTCCCTCCTGAAGGCGGACCGCACCTTACCGAAGAGCTTACCTCCTGACATGTTAAGTGATTAACGGAGCTCAGTGTGTCGATATCTCTGTGTTTAAGTCCCCGACCTCTTGGGTAATCATTAACATCTTTATAATGGAGCGCGATGGTAAAGCTGCATTTCGATTCTGACCTGTCAAAAAGGAAAGTGATGTCAAACACAGACAGATAGGCGTTTCACGTTTGTACAACTGAGTAGTTCCAACAAACAAACAAACCAACCAACCAACAAAAAATGCAGTCGCTGTTTACTAAACTTCAATAAAAAACTTTAAAAAAAAACCTTCTTTGTACCTTTAACGCCTTCACGTGAGCAGAGAAAGTTCACCTGCCCTCATAAAAGCAGCACTAGGCAAACAGTAACAAGCTAGCAAGCAGATGTTAGCTTTCCTGTCACTTTCAGACTGAAGGGCAGCTCTTGTAATGTGACAGTTTGTTAACAAACACTCGAGAAAGACTTACTGATAAAAGAGTTTTCAGCGGGACCAACTCATTCCACTGTCATGATAGTAATTGAGTAAACAACGCCACAGCCCTGGCACCACCTTAGCTCCGCAATGAAACACAGGGAACTTTGCTTCTGTTCGGTTGATCATAGTCATGGGATTTCCGGCTCTTTTCTGGGATCCATATCAATTGGCTAAGTTCACCGAAAAGAATCGTGCTGAGAGGAATTCCCCTCTTAAGGTTAGTTTCCTCACGATTGTGCTTTTTTTAAAATTATAACATAGGGCGTTTATAGTCTTTTCAACCACTGAAACTGTTTTTAAACTTCAAGTATGATGCTCAGAGTTCTCCAACTTCCGCAACAATATAGGCCAAACTTGCTTGCATATTGCATAGATAAACTACATCTATTATTATTATTATTATTATTATTATTATTATTATTATTATTATTATTATTATTAACAAATAAGATTCCTTAGGTATTTTGAACATGTTTTGTAGTGCAGGGATTTTTTTTTGTTTGTTTGTTTCATTGATTATAGGCAATGAGGTGATTTTTATTTTATTTTTATTTTTTTTACCATAAATACAAAACTAGCTACACCTTTTAAGTAAAAAAAAAAAAAAAAAAAAAAAAAAAAAAAAAAAAAAAAAAAAAAAAAAGGGAAAAAAAACCCCCCCCCGGGGGGGGTACCACTCCTTTTAAAAA